CCCCCAGTCCGACACAACAACCTTAAGGAAACCATGGAAGCGAAAGACACGGGACAAGACTGCAACTTAGACAGAGGAATAAAATTAACCATTTTAGAAAATCTGTCTACTACCGTTAGGATGATAGTGTTACCTCCAGACGAGGGCAACCTAGTGACAAAGTCTAAAGAGATGTCGGACCAGGGGCGATGCAGCACAGGAAGCAGGTGCAGGAGACCCCGCAGGAGGGCATCGTGGAACTTTGTTCCGAGCACATACTTGGGCATGCCGCCACATACTCTCCCAAGTCTCTTCTTATACTCTCCTTCTCCACTGAAGGCTACGAGAAGCGTTGTGTAATGACGATGATGGTCACGTGCCTGGCTGGAGGTATTGGCCCAGTGGATGACCTGGAAATGGAGAGGAACAGGTACAAAGAGAAGGATTGCGGGCAACCGGCCAGAGTGTTAGCAGAGGCCTCTCTTAGTCTCTTTCAATTCCCCAGGTAACTTCCCCAACCACACAAGAGGGAGAATGAAAGAGGATGTCTTGGGAGAAGTCGACAAGGTGAAATTAAATCTGCTAAAGAATAGGGCCCACCTTGCTTGCCTGGTGTTGAGACGCTTAGTCGTCCTGATGTACTCCAGGTCCCTGTGGTCCGTCCATACCAGAAATGGTTGCTCTGCCCCCTCCAGCCAGAGACGCCATTTCTCCAGTGCCACTTTAACCGCCAAGAGTTCATGGTTTTCCACATCATAATTCCTCCCAGTTGGTGACAATTTCCATGACAGCAAAACACAGGGATGCAGCTTGTTATCTGAGGAAGACTGTTGGGAGAGCACCACCCCAATGCCCACATCCACCTCCACCTCTAAATGTAAATGGGGGTCTGGAAAGGTGAGCACTGGAGCAGATGTGAAGCTTGCATTAAGAGCCTGGAAAGCGGTGTCAGCTTGGGGGGTCCACTGACATGGACATGAGAAGAGGTTAGTGCGTGCAGGGGTGTTGCAATGGTGCTAAAGTTCCTAATGAACCTCCTATAAAAGTTTGCAAATGCCAAGAAATGTTGTACTAGCTTGTGATTTGTAGGAGTAGGCCAATTAGCAACAGCACTAACCTTATTCACATTTGGTCCATTTAGATGCTTTTATCAGAATCAGAATCAGAATCAGATATACTTTAATAATCCCGTGGGGAAATTACTTAAGAGGAGATGATGACACCTAGGAAGAAGACTGAAGACGTGGACATTTTTCCACCTTCACAAACAGTTGATGATTGAGAAGACGTTGCAGAACTTGTCGGACAGTTAGGTTTGTGTCGAGAAGAGGTACACAAAGACAAACAGGCTGAGCATGTCACAAAGAACATCAGTGACATTTGTGAGTCCGAAAGGTATAACCAGATATTTATAATGTCCACTAGGAGTATTGAAAGCTGTGGGTCGCTAGGGAGGCATCGATGTACTGTTGCATGGCCTCCCTTTCTGGTTGGGATATGGAATATAGACGATCCCTTCTGAGGAGAGGTGCCGGGGAGGAGGTAGTTTTACTCACCAATTCAATTCAACTCAATTTTATTTGTATAGCGCCTATTCATAACAGAAGTTATCTCAGGACACTTTTCAAATAGAGCAGGTCTAGACTGAACTCCTTATAACATTATTTACAGAGACCCAACAGTACCACAGTGAGCAAGCACTTGGCGACGTGGGCAAGGAAAAACTGCCTTTTTAAGAGGCAGAAACCTAGGACAGACCCTTCGGCTCTAGGTGGGTGGTCGTCTGCCAGCATCCCATTTCTCACTGGCAAGCCTTTGCCTTTTGTGGACACATGGAAAGAAAAAGTGCTGGAAAGTGGCTTACTGGAACACTTCAAGGAGGGTAGCACCACTAGAATTGAGGGGGTGAAGATTTCCTCTCTGCCTCTGGGAGTAACTGCCGACCTGGTCCTCTCACTCTCTCTCTCCCTCAGCTGATTGTTGGTGCGAATAGCCAGAGCTATGAGAGAGTCCAGATCATCAGGGGGCCTAGGGGGGTGAGCAGGTCTTTAATATAGGAAGCTAGTCCATGGGAAAAGCATTGAACAGAGAAGAAGCATTGCAGCCGCTGTCAGCAGCTAGACTGCGGAAGTCTGCTGGACAGGTGTCTGATGAGGAAAGCTACTTTTGAGCATTTGGTAGGGAAGGAGGATGCATACATCTCGAAGCGGAGCCCACACTGGACCAGGAAGGACCAGCACTTCCAGGGCTCACCAGAAAACTGCTCAGGTTTGGTGAGAGGAGCGACAAGAGCAGGAGGGATTGCCTGTGAATGCTGGACAGGAAGAACAGGTGAGGTGGGATTGAGGGCATCAATTCAACTCACTAGTTGTTGAATCTGGTTCTTCAAGTGACCCACCTGATCACTGGCAGAAGCCTGAAAACTCTCCTGACGGTCTTTGAGCTATCGAACCCCAACATAAATGGCGGAAAGTTGTTCCTCCTGCTGGTTAATCCTCATACTTGTAGCAGCGTGTAATTGGCTGGAGTCGGATGAGTCTTTTTGGCCAGTTCATACTGTTATAACTGTGCCAGAAAATGGGGGGATAGTTGAATAAACAGTTCCTTTGACTGAGCTAAGTTTGGTACACAGGTAATGCCAAGGGGCAAAGGCAAAAGGCAAAGTTGAAACCCAACCTGAAACTATTTGAACTTGACCTGAAATTGGAAGCCTCTGAATAAAGCTGAATAAGCCACACTAAAAATGTGACAGTTGACAATGACAAAGTGGAGCTAAAATTGGCAATGCCTGATGTAGTGCAGCTGAAGATGCATGATGGTTTGAGCCTGATAAAGTACAATTTAGACAGCAATTTGAGCCAGATCTGACCATGCAAGGTGAGTCTGAGATTTATTTTAATCGCAACCATAGAAAAGATACATTTTACCTTTGGGTACCACCATCAGGCAGCCCAACCCACTTGTAATAACAACAGCAAAGTTACCTCTGCATTTTTCATCAATCCATAAATTCTGTATACTGGTGTGTAATGAAAACTGCAGCTTTACATGACCACTAGCATGGCTACAGACGTTTAGGCTTGTTACATTGTGTTTTCTGTTAATTTAGAATCTATAGAACATTTGAAATTGAAGGTTGAACTCCAATCAAATCATGTACCTGCTTTTCTAAAATAGCAATTATTACCACTATTACAGCTACATTCTAACCCTACAAGGAATCTGGACTCAAAAGGTCATGCGAGAATCTATTTTTCCAGGTGCCAGGTTTCAAGCTAGGCACTTGTGTCCAAACTACAATGGTTCGGACAAATCGGCATCCTTTGTGGAATCACTATCAGTGTGACTCAGTGAGAAGCGACAGAAAAACAATGGCAGCTGCTAAAGAGGTTAGCATAGATGCTGCTAGCATCAGCGATGAACTATCAACTGCCCTAAAACATCTGGAAAAGAGTCTGACCACTGTAGTTGCCTTCATGCTACCAAGAATAAAAAACTGACTAAGAGCCTGCACACGTCCATGTTTCTCATTAAGTGCAACTTATCAAAAAGACATAGTTCAATGCAACTTAATTTTTTGCCTTAGTCTTAGTCCTAGTTCTTAATACAGGATTAGTTTTTTCATTATTGACCAAAATTTTCTGCACTGGTCAGGGGGTACTCTGCTGAAAAAATATTTCAAAGGGGGTACTTTATTAATAAAAGTTTCAGAACCACTAAAATATCTACTCCAACCATCAGTAATTGATTTATTCTGTAAATTACTAGGCCTTCTACATTTTAAAAGATAGTAATTATTACATTTGGCTCAGAATCTAAAGGCCTAGAGTTTGCAACTCTTAATGGATTTAGATGTCTTCTTTCTCAAAATGAATCAGGCACAAACATTGTCATCAGGAATCATAACCTTTTTCTAGTTTTTTACTATGTTTGCCTGCCTGGCCATCACAGAGGATGGTGAGTCAGTTGCCTACAACAGTAAGGAACTGATCCAGGCTACAATTCTTTGACGTCATTCAACTTTCTAAACAACATGACATTCATTTACTGCTGCCCTGTCATTCTGAGCTCCTCTTCCAATGAGTGCCTGGGGCACTCTTAACGACCTTTAAATAGGCTGTCTATGTTTTCTGAGACATTAATAATAGGTACTGGAGATGCATGCTGAGTGACCCCAGTGCCAACTACCGAAATATGTTGAACAGACAGTCCGATGATGCTTGTTGGAATTATGTCCTCAGTTGATGATGTCATTGCTTTTGAAGACCGCCTTAGGTTATTTCATTATGATGAGTCTCACACACACACACACACACATACACACACACACACACACACACACACACACACACACACACACACACACACACACACACACACACACACACACACACAACAAATATGGGACATAGGCATAAAGGGACTCAAAGGACTGCTTAAGTTATTTAGCAAAAAGGGAAAAAAATCAATTATCATCAGATACTGACAATATTCTGTAAAACCAGATAAGTTAATTTTACTTAAAAAATTATAACTAATCATACGAAAATGTTTAAGTAATGCAAACTCTTTCTTAAGTTAAGAAAGATTCTTGATTTAGACACTTTTTCTAGTAATTTTAAGTGGCATTAACTTTGATTGATTTGACTGATTAAATACTTTTTACTAGGTATTTTGTTTTCACAGTACAAATAAAAATGACAAAAGGGAGTCACTGACGATACTTGATTAAGAATGTTTTTTTAACTTACAAAATGTTGTTATATTTAGTAAAATCATGTAAACAATCTTTTGTTTAATTGCCAGTCACTGGCACATTTACAGAAATGTGTATTGTCCATAGATAAATAAATATATGACACTATATGACACGCATGAAGTGCTTCCGTCTGACTCACAGGACAGAAGCTACTGATTGTAAATGTTCTACCCTTCCCTGCCCCCACCCTCTCCCTCCCGCCCTCCCGCTCTGTCTTTCTCTTTGATATAAGTGTGAGAGGGAAATGGTCAGTGAGGGACCCTTATATGAAGCTGAGGGGGTCTTTGAATAGATAAGCTTCTGCGCCCTCTGCTCAGAGACAGGAGTTTCTCCACGCCCTGCAGAATGCCTGGAAAAATCCGATCAGGTATTTCACAACTTTGCATGAAGGAACCCAAAGGAAGAACTGTCAGTTCTCTTTCTGCATGTCATCCGGTTCTTTACTCCTTTTTCCCCAACCTACCATCATGATTTCGTCTTTATTTCATTCAGTCCTTGATTCTCATCCTGACCCTTAAAAAACACACACACTTTTTCAAAAGAGGAGGATATGAATTTGTCTCAGTTATACCAGATTCCTGAAGAATACAATATGATTCAGCTTGAAACTTGTGTTTTGGCTTTGCAATATTTGGTTTTATCTAACTTCTTTGTTATTTCCTTTGTTCTCTCCTAGTGTCTGTCGTGTGGGTTGTGTTGGTCTGTGTGTCGTTTTGCAGCAGACTGACCGGTGTAGGTGCAGCACCCATCTGTACCAATGCCCAAGCTGGGTGCCACGTCCTGTCCCTGGCCAACCTGTTTGACCGGGTCATCCAACACTCAGCCAGGATGCATGGCATTTCAAATGACCTTCACTCCGAGTTTGTAAGTCCATCTTTTTTTTTTTTTACATTGTCTGACAATGCTTTTCTGGTAATGGTTAATGAATTACTTCCACAATGTAATCTAAAACAATTACTGATTACTTGTTGTTAATATAACTTGATTACTTTCCGTTACTTTTGGTTTACCTCAACACCAAATATGCCACTAAAGACAAGAGAAAAGAAATATCAATAAGATAACCTTAACATATTTTTCAAGACAACATAACCGTAGAAAAGAAAATGGAAACCAAGATGTTTAGCATCAGCAAAGTGTCCTCTGTTCAGTGTTCTGTTTTTGAAGCAAATTCAGGCAGTATCTTATAAATCATTTTCACAGCTAGAAGGCAGAACTTGTTCTGTACTTTGATGTTGGTCCCTTTTCTGTTTTAAAGACAAAATAATGGTGACATTTTAACCCAGTGAAAGATGTTTTTTCACCAGAGGCCATGATAATCAATTGAACTTTAAGATTAGCTATGGTTTCACTGTGAGCAGATTGCTGTTTAAGACTTGTGAAGAGTTTGTTGTATTCTAAAATTGTAATCCTGCTAATAATCCCCACTTTTACAAAAAACAATTGCAATCTTATTATGCCTTTTTTTGTAACTGTAATGGATCACGGTTACCTTTGTTAATCCCCAAGTCGGGTTATATTTATGTTTGGTCAAACATATTGCTTAATGTGTTGTTTGGTAGGAATTCTATCTTAAACTAGACTATTTTGTAGATGCATCTTTTTAAAGCTATACTTATACTGATATGTGTGTTTTATTTTGATAATTTGATTAAAAAAGGAGCATTTTTATACAGACTGCAGGATACTGCACACATGCATACATACATATACTCAGGGGCCAATTTATTAGGTACACATAGCCACAACGAATAATCCTACAATAAATCCTCTTTCATGAAGGTTGTAATGATCAGATTGTGTAGAGAGGTGTTGATTCAACTGTGTGATCTTTCTGGAGGAGATGGTTGTTGCTGTTTCTATTACTTAGCCCACCCAAATTGCATTAGTTTTAGCTTGATGTACCTCATAAACTGGCACACACAGGTGTAAGTATATCCATTGTGATTATTTGCTATAGCAGGCCATTCTACTACTTCATTCATCCCTTCTGTACTCTAGCCACAGCTGACATTTAGATGACACCAGACCTCTGACATTTCATTCTTGCATTCATGTTTGTCCTGTCAGGAGCAGTACTTCCTGCCCAGTAAGAATCAGATTGGCCGGGTCAGTCGCAACTGTCACACCTCCACCATCCTCACCCCAAATGGCAAAGAGAACGCTCAGAGAATGGCGGTGAATTAACCTTTATAAAAGCTATTTCCTCTCATTGGCATGCACTGTCCACGTCACATTTACAAGAAGAATGTTGAGTTATCATCAGCATTTCCCTTCCCTTAAACATGGATGTTTGAAACATTTCATAATGTAAGTCGTTTATGTTTTGAAATTTCTTTGTTGACATGCATCATGTATGTTACTTCATGTGTTCATGTGTCTCTACTTTTATTCTTGCAAAATCCTAAATGTTTTTTTAAATTAAAATGTACTATAAATTAGGCTGTTAATGATATATGAAGTTTTACATTTTTAAAAAAGTGCTACTAAAGTGGAGTTTTCTGGCTGAGAATGTGAGAAAGAACTCATATCGAGAACGGCCTTTAAATATATGTATTGTAAAATTCCACGCATTTTGTAAGACACTACTGATTATGTGAAAATACATGAAGTAGCTATGTAAAAAAAAATTGTAAACATTTTTTAACAAGTAGCTTTAGTGAGTTTAAGTGACACTAACAAAATACCTAGTAAAAAGTATTTAATCAAGACTTTAGTTAAATTTAGTTGTTGTTATTTAAAATTTGTGTTGTAAAATAAACACCTAAACATGTATTTAAGGCATTTTTTTTCGACTGTTGAGAAAACTCACCTTGAACTGACTTTTGTGTAACAACCCACCTGTCCTGTTATCACTATAGAGAGAGGAGCTGACGGAGGTGATTCTGAAGCTCCTGATGGCGTGGAGGGATCCTCTGTGGCATTTCCACCAGAGCATGGCTCACCACCATGATTTCAACAACTTCAGCTCCAATAAAGCTCTTGAGATGAGTGACATGGTGCATGAGCTAGGCAAAGGTGTAGAGAAAGTGGCTGAGAAGGTACTGTATGTCTTCCATGAATGCCAAATATAAATGAGTGGGAGGCACTTCCCATGAGCCCTGTGACACCCAGTTACATCACTTACTTTAACTCTACAGGGATCTGTGTGTGTGTGTGTGTGTGTGTGTGTGTGTGTGTGTGTGTGTGTGTGTGTGTGTGTGTGTGTGTGTGTGTATCTGTCTGAAGCTTATCTTGTAATATTACCAATATCAGTATTTTTTGTGCATTTATAACTGCATGCCTAAGGACTCCATGTAGTTGTGGTGACTCACAATTTCTGATAAATATATTTGATTGGTGTTTCCAAACTCCTTAACAACTGCTTTAGTTTAGAATCTTGTTTTGCTAGGGTAGTTTTAGTAATATTGCCAGATTCCTTTTTTTACTTTTTCACTTTTAAAGTGATATTTTATATCGCAGGTGCTTTGGAATTGTTACTGTCTAGATTTGCACACCAAAGTAATATACATTAGACACACAGCCTGACCTGCACTCCCTGTTCCCATGACCCCAGACAAACCTGGTGTGAACCACTCTCTGCTGAGTGCACTCTTCTAGTTCCAAATGTTTCTGCTTTAGACTAGCACCAAAGACATAATTTTGTGATGTTGCATCCAAATGAAATGGTACTCAACATTTGTAAATAAGTGTGGTAGATGCTTGGAGCTGCTGTGTAATGTACCTTCCAGCGATGTACTTTCCAGTCAGATTGTGTAATCTTAGTAAATGAGAATTAAACACAGATGACAAAATCCTTACGTCACACAACAAATCCAAACCGCCTCAGATCGTTCTAGTGTCAGTCAAACGCTGATATTTGACTGGAAGGGGGACTTCAAGATTCAAGATTCAAGATTCAAGATTCAAGAAGCTTTATTTATCCCGAGGGAAATTACTGTGCAACAGTTGGAATACAAAGGTGGGAAAGTAATACAGGGTTAGAGTAAAAATAAGCTAACATAAAATAAAATAAATAATAAAATAAAGGCTAACATAAAATAAATCAAACAATGAACTAAATGCAACAAAATGCAAGCACTTACAGGTAACATAAGTAGAAAAAAAATGCAACAAAAATTGCAGTTAAACGTAGGTATATACAATATACAACAATACGCACCGTGCAAAAAAAACCAAGTAACTAAATGTGACAAAATGCAACAAAAATTGCAGTTAAATGTAGGTATATACAATATACAACAAAACACACCGTGCAGTTTAGCAGCATAATAACTTAAAATAGATGGTATGATATAAACTAGTAGAAAACATACTAGACATAGTCAATAAAACTGTATGAGTGTGCTTTTTCTTTCTCTTGCTCTTTTGGGTCATGGAATGTGTTTAAGTGTTTATAGAGTATGTTTTGTGTGGATTCTGTTTTAAAATTGTACACTCAAATGGAAGAAATGAACAATAAATGAACAAAATCAAGATAAAAACAAGACAAAATAAAGATGCCCTCCAAAAATATCTCCTCTAAAAATTTGAATCACTGACTTGGGCTAAATAACAGGAACACCTCTGAGTCTATGTAACTATTCAAATTCAGGATTTGTGTGTCCCCAGAAAGACTTCTACCTGGCTTCCGTCTTGTAAAGTAGTTTGTTATGTGTGTCCTCTCTGCTCCAGATGCAGATGTTGGGTATGATAAGTAACTCTGTCAGCAGCCTGGCTTCTCCTGAGGGTTTGTTGCCATCAGACAGTGCCGAGTGGCACCTGATGAAAGACTATGACCTCCTCTACTGCTTCCGCCGAGACTCCAACAAGGTCCAGAACTACCTGAAGATCCTCAAGTGTCGAATCATTCCAGAGCATGGATGCTGAAGGCAGGAAAACAATGGAGGTGTTTAACTTCGGGGAAATATGAACATGATGGAATGGAAACGCTGTAGTTAGAAACTACATGGATAAAGCTGTAGTTCTTGATGTGTTTTCTATCTGCAGGGTATGGGATGATAACTGATATGTTCACTCCTACCATGACTGAAGTGCTACTGGGACCCAAAGACTCTGCCCACCCCCTGCTTCATGCCTGATATTACTGTGGACAAACATGAGTTGAGTATGGACAGGATGGAATGAGTGTAATACATGTATAATGCATATCAGCTTTAAACATAGTAATACCATAAAAGAAAACATTTCAAGAAAAATGGATGCAATGGTCATTTTTACAGAAGAGGTAGTTAGTGGAAAGAGATGACTGCACTTTTCAACCTGAAGTCATCATCAGAGCATCACGATTGATCACACATGATGTTCTGTTGATGCAATGCAGAATTCAGCTAGTTCAGCTAGTGAAGGATAAGTTTACATTCCACAGAAGTCTGTGTAAATAGAGTACTGATCTATGTTCTATATATACATCGAAAGGGTTGCAGGTTGCTAGGCGAGGTCAAAATCCCCCATCTCTTACAAAGTAGTAAGCAGTAGGTATGGGACAATATAGAAATGTTATGTCACATTTATCCTGGCTGTAATTGTGAAAGACAATATTCTCTCAACAATCATGAAAATATACTTTTAAAATGGCACTAGAATAAATTGGAATCTCTTCTGGAATCCGTTCTGTAACAGAATGGGACTTACAGACGATGCCACCCGCATCTGCCCACCCATTCAAACATTCTGGACAAACATCATACAACTCTATCAGAAACTCTCGGTTGCAGCATTACGGTCTGTATATCTGCTAGGAGATATTTCATCAGTTGAACCGCCACTGAAATATGAACACAACATAAATTGCCAACAAGCTTCTAAACTGGAAAGACAGAAGGAAAGTAAATGTGACGTTAAATCTAAACCTCTAAACTTCAGTGACCCCTTATACTAGCAGAACACATCTCAACAGAAAGACAAACAGCATTAAAAACAATTAAATAGATTCATTGACATATTCTGGACCACATTTTTGACTTGCTTATCCCTCCCCAGACAACAACAATTTTTACTACTGCTGGTGATCCCAGTGCTCCCTGCTTTTGTTTTTTTTGCTGAACTGTCCTTGTGTAATTTTTCCCTAAAAAAAAAAAATAGTAGCCACCTCCATCACAGAGGCTGATGCGATACACACCTCAATGCAACAATCCGATCCATTTAAGATACATCTAAAGCAGCTACCAATGGTATTCAACATTTGATTCAAACAATGCAATACAAGAGAATATGATGCTATGAAATTCAATATGGTACAGACAGTTTGATTTTATTTATTTGGTTCTTCTTAAGTAGCTCGAGAAACAATTTTGAGAAGAGGATTCAGTCTATACAATTATTGGTCACATATCTAAATAATAAAGGCATAGGGCCTCTACTAATAATTATATACAAATTGTTTTTACCGATGCAAAGATGTGAGAAACGATCCTCAATTAATCCAAAACTGTATCCAGAGAACACTTTTTACGTCAAAGAAATTGCATCTTGAACTTTAAAGTACCAGTGTATGGTATTTAGCGGCATTTAGCGGTGTAGCGGCGTTACTTCATCCTTCCCTTCCAAGCACAAAGGAGAATCTATCGTGGTCAACACCCCTATCTAGTGCCAGTGTTTGGTTTGTCCCTTCTTGGCTACTGTATATTTAATTTCTGACTATTTGGACCCTCCTAAATGTTGCACACTGGACATTTAACCCGGTGCATCAATGCAAATCTGTGAATCTTACTTAGCTCGTCTGTTGGATCAGACCACATGGGTCAGCCTTCGCTCCCCACGTGTATCAATGACCCTGCCACCAGTTCACTGCTTTTCTTTCCTTTGACCACTTTCGATAGGTACTGACCACTGCAGACAGCTTGTTCACACTGCGACCTATGTGAATGGGATGATAACCAGATAATTCATTAATAATAAGTGTTATTCACTAAACCTGTCAGTGGTAATAATGTTATGGCTGATTGGTGTGTTTCCTGTGTTTATCACTCTATTGTTGCATGTGCAATGAAAACTTGACGTGCACAGACTTTAAATTATAGACTTCAAAATGGTTCACTGGAAGCCTGCTTCAAAAAGAATAAAATAATTGTTTCATGAGCAGAAATTAACCTTCATTCTCATGTATAAATTTATGCTAGATACTTGTGGTGTGTGCATCACAGGACTGTACAGACATCCAGAAGGTAATAAATCTGGGCATGTATAGTTTGGGTTTGATTATGTTTATTGAGTGAGAAAAAAAACAACAATAACAAAACAACATTGCACTGACAGAGTGTACTGTGCAGTTTGGACTGCAGATCAGTGGCCTCATGATGTAGCTGCTATGGTGACGACCTGTGGTCTTCCGGTGCTCTGTTCTACACAGGAAACATTAACGGAGCCATCCCTGCAACACAAATCAGAATAAATAATAATAACAATAATAAATGATGATGTACAAGCACTCACATTAAACAGCCCATGTGCAGATCCTGGAGGGGTAGATACCTTTTCATGGTCACCACAGTGTCGATATCATGATTCTCTCTGGGCTGCAGGTCTTTCAAGACTATCTATACATACACAAGAAACAGATCAATAGTTTGTTTTAATGAAAAGTAATGTATTAATGATTATTTTTATAATTGTTCTTGTTTTTTTAGACGTTAGATACAAAATTTTATCAGCCAAATACAAACATTAAATACGTTTTTAAAAAATACATTTTTGTAAACCTGCTACAATATTTACACTTTTACAGTATTTCCTAAATTTACAGGGAATGCTTTGTTGTCAGTTCAAAATCATGTTTATTTTCCTTGATCGAAAAAGATAAAGAATGTATTTTTTTCTTTACTATAGGGTGGAACTTTACTGGTTTATCTTTGACATTTTCTTCTACTGTCTTTTTGAGAGACTATTAAAGTTGCAATAGGTAACTCGTATAAAAGTAACTTTATGTCATATTTGCTGAAACTTTCTCTATGTCCTGAAGTAGCACATGAGACGGATAATCTGTGAAAAAAATCTGGTTCCTCTGGCTCCTCCTAGTGCTCCTAATGGCATTTACAAGAATCTACTGCATCTGAACCAAAACAAAAAAAAACAATCCGAGCCGAGAGCCAAGAGAGATAGTTGTTTCAACAATCAGTTGTCTTCAAGCCCACAACCCAAAGTATCTGTATTTTATGACCAGGGAATAAGGCTCAATTAGCTGTCTTTCTTAGCTCTGACTGGTTCTTTTCGCTTGGATTCTTGCAAATGCAAGAAGTGCTACTGTGCACTCCAACAAATCAGGTGTATGTCGTTTGACATTTGATCCAATGTTAGTGCTTTTCTATACCTTGGCTAGCTTTTCTGGTTGCTGCGTGACAAATCTCTGGTAAACCTCCAGACAGAGGGAGGACAGATTCCCTCCTCCACTCAGGGTGTGGTGTCTACGGGCAGGGAGGGGCGTGCCCGATGGAAGGAGAACAGTGAACACCTCAGCTCCAGATTCATCCACCTCCTGCAACACACACACACCACCAGACGGAAAATATTAGAATTCATGTATTAAATTCTTTAGACAGAATAAGATTCACTAATAGAATTAAACAATTACATTCAAGTAAATACAAATCAAATATTTATATAAAGAAATACATATTATGTGTTTTGAATGGACCAGTATACCTTCACGAGTATGTCAGTGGCAGACACATCCACTGTAACAGACTCTTCCTCAGGCACAAGTCCATCTTTGCCAACCAGTAAGCCTGCTTCTAGGGCTGCTCCCACAGCGATGACCTCATCAGGAGGCGCCGAGCTGAGGAGCTCTACATCAGGAAACATGTCATGGATCAACTGCTGAAGACGAGGGATCCTGGCTGAGCCACCGCAAAGAACCACCTGCAATGCACCACAAGAAAAGCGTGTTGTGTTTAATGGTAAATATTTGTTCATAAATGTTTATCACTGATGGATCAGAGGCCATTTTTTTTTTCTTTAACTCACATTCACACCGATTCAATATCAAAATAAAAGATCACTCATCTACATCATACAATTGTGATTGCAGTTGAATCATTTCAAACAATGGACCAAAAATGAAAACACACTTGGCTGTAAAAAATTCTCTCACACACCTTGTTAATGTTACTGGCGGAGAGTCCCGCCTCCTCCAGCAGGGCCCTAATTGGCTGGATGCTCTTGTTGAAGAGTGAGGAGCACAGCAGCTCAAATCGAGCTCTGAGGAAACATAACATGTCATGTTGGTAAGAACTAGTTATCTGCCCCAACGTGCTTGCTTAGACTAAATCTACTCATAAAGATGCAGCTCAAAACATATCAGTGTGTGTTTCAGCTGCATTCATTCAGTCCACTTTCAGTAGTGTAGAGGTTCTGTTATTTGCAGCTGTTTTGTGCTATGAAATTATATGTCATGGATAAATATGGAGTGGGCAAAAGTCAAAACTTGACCTGGATGAAGCTGTCATATCGACATACAGAGGGTCTACACGATTGCTCACAGCAACTCAGTATCTGCAAACATAACATAATACCACTGATCCTACAAAAGGAGCTTTGCTACACGTACCAGACGTCTGCTGAGTATAAATTCAGGATCAGAAGTTTCACTGTTTATTATGTGATAATGATGATTAATTAAGTTAATTACCCAGGAGGTTTTATTATGAAAGATAGACCGTAAGCAGTCACCCACCATTGGATTAATCACTATTCCTTGTAGACACAACAGACATTCATTATTTTTCTCTGTTTGAACCCCTGCTATAGACTTCATTGGAGAAGACTATGCTGAAATCATATCAAAAGGTTTTGCCACTGGTATTTAAGTGATCTGTGTACGGTATATACATTTCATTGTCATAGTAGTTATAATATATAATATAATAGGGGCAGCTGTGGCTCAGGAGGTAGAGTGGGTGGTCCATTAATCAGAAGGTTAGCGGTTCAATCCTGCTGCTGCATGTCGAAGTACCCTTGAGCAAGATACTGAGCCCCAAGTGCTGTGCATCGGTGGAGGAATGTGTATGAATGTTAGTTTCTGTGTTGTGATGGGTCATCCAGTGTGAAAGGGTGAATGTGGCATGTAGTGTTAAAGCGCTTTGAGTGGTTGGAAGACTAGAAAGGCACTATACAAGTACAGGTCCATTGACCATTTACCAATATGGAGGATGATGGTTTTTACGTTTTTCCTCTTCTTTTTCTTTTGGTTTAATTTGCGTGTTTTTTTCTCTTTTTCTTTGTCTTAGTCTGACTTTTTTCTGTATGGTTTGTTGTTGTCTGGGTCTAGTATTTGTGTTTGTGTTATGTACTATTCTTGTTAAGGGCAACACTGAGTGCATAACCTATATAAACTGAAAATAAAATGAATGGCATAGATTTATTCATTCTATACATGTACTGATAATACTAATGACACAAAGTATTAAAGCTGGATTCATTATCCTTATTATAATTTTGTCATCTGCATGGTAAATACATGGTTGGAAGTGTTGACTTAAGAATCATTGATCTGACAATGCTAATAATATATGTTCAAACCAGAGTTGCCATCAGGGGCGCCACCAGGAATTTTGGGCCCCATGACAAAAAAATCAAATTGGGCCCACTGTTGTCACCACATCTCTCGGACCTAACTGTCCCATCAAAAGCTTTACATAACTCTAATTAAAGGCTTGCAACTGTCTTGCTTCTTGTAGTTCAATACTAGTAGGCTACTAGCACAATATTTACTGCTGGTGATTTGTACATGCATGCAAGTCTGCATACAGTATGCAGTTCACTATTTGATGCAAGATTAAAAGCAACCATAAAAATGTGCTAAAGGCCATCTTTTACAGTCTCAATGTATTTTTATTGGAAAATTTCAAAATGGAAAATTCTCTTAACGAAATTAATTATTATTATTAATTATTATCATAATAAAGTCTGTATCTATAGATGTCATTCCATAATTCAATCTAAATGAACGTATCAAACTGGGTTATTTTACTACTGTCTGTATCTTAAATGCAGGCTCAGATAAACTACTCACTGTTTCCAACTGTCCAGCATCCAGTACAGACAGTAGGTTGTTGTTTTTTTATTTTATTTCATAATGATCATTATGTGAGAAAACAATTGCTATTAATGTGTTTGAATTTCTGTCATTAATAAATATTTCATTTTCTTTTTTGTAATGGTAAAAAGAGCAAGAGAGAAATCCCCACAGACTCCCTGCAATGATGCTAACTGGCCTGTCATTGAACACAATGTTGCTCACCTTCACTGGGACAGGGAGGGGTACAGTTATGAGGAGACTGGGGTGCTGCTGACTCATCTGTTGTTAAGTCTGCTAAAAGGGGCAGGGACAATGATTTAATATGAATATCTTGCTAAACGTTTCCCTGAACTGATTAAATGGTGTTTAATGTAGGCTAACACTAGTCTGTAGCTAGCTGGCTTATTTCCCTATGGACATTAAGCCAACAGGTTAATACCACTCACAGACTATAGGCTCCTTTCTTGGTGAAAAACTGGGTTACAGATTGACATCCTCTCCTTTGTCTTTCCTCTCTCTCTTTCCTTTTTTGAAAACCAGATTTTGATTTACTAGTTAACATTGTGATCACTGTAGTTCTGGCGCATCTACTGCAACTAAACACCGTCACTGATAAGCGCTATGGCAGGACCAAACCATTTCATGCAGATACAGGGGGGTAAATATACATACTGGATGATGATGGTTTAATAATTTTAGATTAGTTTTTTAGTTTTTACCTATTTTTGGGGGGCCCTGTCAGTCACGGGCCCTTGGAATTGTCCTTACTTTCCCCCCCTATACAGCGCCCCTGGTTGCCATACACACAGTGACAATAATCTACATTTGAGGTGATCAGCTCTTCTTTTCACATCCTGTTTGGAATTAGCACGTTGTTAACATCATATGAATGGTAAACGGTTAATGGAGTGTACTTTCTAGTCTTCTAGTTCTCTAGTCTTCCAACCACATAAACCGCCACATTCGCCCTTTCACACACACATTCACACAGTGACAGCAAAACTAACTCATTCATTCTCGTTTGGTGCAGTTTGGAGTTCAGAATCGTTTTCCTATCTTTTGCTCTTTTTTACAAGCTTGTGTCATCGTAGCAGCTTACCTAGAGACGTTGCATTCAAAGTCAATGCCGTCGTGCAGGGAGTCAACAAAGCAGTTGGCTGATCCCAGAGACGACAGAGAGTGTTTGGCCATGTCTGCTCCGTTCATCAGCTTCAGCATCGCCCGAACATTACTGCTCACATCATGCTTAAAGGTGCTGCACGACAACACAGACAAATAACATGAGGTGGTTGGAAAGAGTCGAATACAAGCAACACATCGTTCAGGTGCAGGTGTGTGAGTGAAGTGACCCCAACTGAATTATTATAGATCTATTAAAGATTATAGAAACTTTCAGAATATTTATCTCTTTCTCAAGGCTTTCAAGGCTGTTGCACTAGATTGCATTGGTTTTAACCTAGCTGTACAAATGAAACTGACAACTGAGTGTATATTAATGATTTTGCCAACAAAGATGCAGTATTTGGCTTACTGTTCACGAGCTTTGATAATACCCAAGGTATTAATTTTATGATATTTGAACACTAAAGGTAGCATTACAGGAAATATTGATGGCATATTGTGATAACACTGTCATAATCATATTTTTGGCCACGTGTACTATGTCCATTACTGACATACAAAATTGTCAGTAATGCCATATGCATTTATAGATAGAAAAAAACTCACCCGAGAATAAAACTGGAAGAAATTGTGGAAAACATGAAGTCATTTAGTTTAAGGAGAGCTTCAAGGAGCAGCAGAGAACACCGTATCTACCGTTTGAACTCAGCGGCCAGGTGCTGGGCCAGGGCCTGGGTGAAGCTCTCTCCTCCAATGCTGTGGTCAGTGTGGGTGTTGAGAACCCGGAACATTCCTCCGTTGACCTGCAGCACTGTCACACTCAGGGAGGTCCCACCAAGCTTATACACCAGGACATGGCTGTGAACACAAACAATGCACACATTGCAGATCAATATGAGAGCAAATCTTTAAATGGTAAATGGTAAATGGACCTGTACTTGTATAGCGCCTTTCTAGTCTTCCGACCACTCAAAGCGCTTTTTACACTACGTGCCACATTCACCCTTTCACACACATTCACTCAGTCCATCGAACAGAAACTAACATTGATACACACTCACACACAAGCAATTTGGGGTTCAGTATCTTGCTCAAGGATACTTCGACATGTGGCACCAGGAGCTGGGGATCGAACCCACAACCTTCCGATTGAGGAACGACCTGCTCTGCCTCTGAGCCACAGCCGAGGTGGAAATAATATAAACAGGTATTAACATTAGAACCAAATATTAAATAATCAGTGTTGGTCACTGACAATCAGTAATTAGTTACAGCAACCTCTCTCAAAAGTAACTGAATTACTTTACCAATTACTGCATATACAGCTGTATGATATTAATGTTACTATCGGACAAGTTTATCTGGTTCTTAATAATCTACCATCAGAGGGCAGCAACATCTAGCGCTCCTACCTGTAAGCGACACTTGTTATCAGACAGTAGGATTTAGCAGATGAAGACCCACACGCAGGGTCCAATATTAACACCCACCAAGTGCCAAATGAGGGTAGATTTTCCACTTGGTGAGGAAATCTCTCAGCAGCCTCACTGGCAGGTAATGTTTTTACCAAAATGGTCATGTAATAAAAAAGTATGCTGAGAGTCATTTACAGATGCTGTCCTCTGCTGTCTGTGTCGGAGTCTGACACACACACAAGACAGATAATCATCATCACCATCATCGGTCAAATTTTTACTATCATAGCTTTTACTATGTATCTCTCTCTCTGCCTTCTCTATAAGTTGTACTGCGTATGAGTGTATATTAGAATATAGTTGATTGTCTTAGAAGGAAGCTTTTCCTTGCTTGCTCGTGGTGGGAACCATTTGGTCTCTGTAAATAATGTTATAAGGAGTATGGTCTAGGCCTGCTCTATTTGAAAAGTGTCCTGAGATAACTTCTGTTTTGAATTGGCACTATACAAATAAAATTAAAAACAATGAAGTTATTTACTTTAAGGAGAGCTTAAAGGAGCAGCAGAGAACACAGTATTTACTTGTGAACTCGACATTGTGTCAAATGTCTTGTACCACTGTAAGGTTGACTATCTCTATATAGTTTTGGGAGCGAGATTGGCCGACCAGGCTGAAGAACTTTACGTTAATCAGAAACTTGATTCTTGAATTAGTTTAGTTAAATTAATAAACAGTGACACGCTCTGTTGAATATTAGATTGTAGATAAACTGAGCTGTTAGCACACCTATTTGGAGATCCAGTTCTCAGCAGTACACATTCATTACACTTCTGTTATATACTGTTCTACACATATTTTGAATGTCTTGAATGTCTGTCGTATAATGTTAATATTATTATATTTACACAAGGACAGAAACTATCCAGGGCTGCCATACACACTACTGTTTCTCACACTTTGAGAAGTTGATGTTGCACTTGCATCACATTAGAGTCCATATTAGTTGAATTAGTTTTTTAGGTTGATCTTAAAAAGGACAGGTGGGTAGCAACCAGAGTAAAATCCCATCCTGTCTGACCAACCATATCTGATTTTTGGATGAAGGCAAACACCAATAAGCCAGTGAACATGTCAACTCAACAGCTTTTCCTTTTCTTTAGCATGCATCCTCAGAGCTGTACCTCTTTCCAGAAGAAGAGTCCTGTCCGATGTTGTAGGCCAACAGAGCAGCAGCGGGCTCATGTATGAGCCTCAGTACATGGAAGCCTGCAGCCTCAGCTGCCTCCCTGCACAAAACAAACAGAGCGGTAACCTTTATTAAAAACTACAAATGGAAAGACTTTCACTGTCTCATAACAAAGACTAAAGCTGTAGTGGGTAGTAACGCAGCCTACCTCAGAGCATGCTTCTGAGCATGTCCAAACTCAAAAGGGACGGTAATGACTGCTTCGGTGACATCAGAGCCCAGAGCTGACTGAGCAGTTTCTGTAAAAATGGGAGCGATCAATAAACTTGCTGTTTATTTACAATGTGCATCTGTGTGTGTGTGTGTGTGTGTGTGTGTGTGTGTGTGTGTTCCACAGACTACCTTTCATTTTGTGGAAGATGAGTTTTGCAGAATCCTCTGGAGCGACATACTCTGCGTGATCTCCTGCTGTAATCTCATAATAAGGCTTCTCATCTCTGTTGACAACCTGAACACAGCAATCGCTGGTTTACCACTGCTGTCAACTGTTGTGTTTTCAACAAGTATTTTCAAAACTAAGAGACAAGCTATTGTGCTTCTTACTGAAGATAATTGATAAAACCTGTACAACTATTAGAGCCCGACAGTTGTTGGACTACGACAGACACATTGGCATCAGTGTAAATGCTTGTGGTAAGATACTGGCATCACAGTAAAGTTTATCCAGCAGGGTGCGCTGTGATTTATAAGGCTGTGTATTGGCAACAATCTGGCAATACAACACACACGATACAGGAGCTACAATTCAATATAGGTATTGCAATACTGTAAGCAAGGCGATATATATCACATATATATATATATATATATATATATATATATATATATATATATACATATATATATATATATATATATATATATATATATATATATATATATATATATATATATATATATATATATATATATATTTATTTTAGTATACAATTTTAGTATAAAGAAGAGCTTAAAAAGTTGTATTCCTAATGCAACCAGAACAGTGAGCTCTGCATTTGTATTCATTACAGTCTCTGTAACATCCAACATCATAGCCCTTAGTTTATGTTTAGATATTAAACCTCAGACAGACCCTGGCTCTAGGTGGGTGGCCATCTGCCTCGAACGGTTGGGGTTAGAGAGAGGTGGGTTACGAGGGTAGAGTGGTGAGGGGAGGGGTGGTAAAGAGAGAAGGACATGGACAGGTGCACAACAACAACTACACTAGTAGAAATAACTAATGATGATGACGACAACAACAACGACAATAGCTACAATAGCTAGAAAATGTCAGATTCATATAGGTAATCTATTCTAGGGATTCTACCCTCTAGAATTAGTATCATTATCAAATATCCCATATCGGTTGGGCTTTATGTATGAACAGCATGACAAAAATGAATGTTAATAAAGGAAACACAACGATAATTTCAGACATTTTGGGGTAAAAAGCTTAAAAGAAAAACACAGAGTGGATTTGTTGAACTCACCTGACACTTGGTCTGTATTTTGTGAGCCTGTGTCTCTTGATCACTAAAGCTGCACATTGAGACACAGAGAAATATAAAATCAAAATCTCTAATTAGTAACATACTCTTTATTCTCTTGCTTGGCAGACAGGGTTGGCCAATCGGATGATTGCATCAGTTAATCAAATGTTCTCAGAAATTACATTGTATGAGACACCACTATTTAATTCTTGGTAACAAGTGCACACAGTGCAGTTAAACCAAAACATTAAACTTGTTATTGATGTTACATAGAGAATAAGCCAATTTCAAAAATGAAAATCCATCACAGTTGGATTGAACAGCACTTTCTGCCTACTGACACATTATTTAGATTTTAATATTGAACAAGTGAGCCAAACTAACATGACACTGAATCTCCTGTAGTGTTAAGAATACAAACAGTATTAAGTTTGTCACCTTCTTCCCAGCACTTGTTTCACTTTAACAACTGTGTTGGCAGCATTGCGGACCCGTCCTTGCTTTGCTGCAATACCTACAATCTGCAGAAGACAAAAATAAGTCAGAAAGCAGACTGGCAAATAAACATATATGAGCCAAATGCCAAAATGGTTGAGTCTTTTCAGCTGCATCACACAGCTGTCAACACCATAATAATCTGGCTTCCTCAAGGGAGGTTTAACAGAGCACTGGGAGATCAGTCCCTCCAGGACCGCCTGATTTCATGGCAGCTTTTCTGAAAACATGCAATGCATGTTTTGCTTCATTTAAGACCCCTCAGGTTATGCTGTCTTTGAGAAAAACATATGTGAAAAGAAGTATAGCATCATGGCGTACCTGCTCAGTGTCTCTGTAGGCCACCACAGCTGGAGTCACTCTGTCTCCTGCATCATTAGCCACCACATCAGCCCGCCCATCCTGAACAACACACAAAGATTTATTAGAGACACTTTTGTTCCAGGAGATCCATGGTCTGTGTTAGCTATATAAAGCCTAATTTCCAAAGCTTAGCCAGGTTGCCTCTTATTAACAAATAAATAAATAATAAATACTGTAAAAGGACCAGTGTGTAGGATTTAGTGGTACCTAGTGGTGCAGTTGCAGATTCCAGGCTTTATGACCTATACTGCAGTCACCAGGGGGAGATTGACATGTTTTGGCTTCACTTTTGGAGAGCTATCATTTCGTCCATCCTTATGTAATGACAGTGATCTAGAGCGGGGCTACACAAAGTTGTTTTTAACATTGATTATACCAAATCTCTGTCTTTTTGCATTTAATGCTCTTAAAACATGTAGGACTCCTAATTTTATTTTCATAATCTGAGCGGGCTGAGTGCCACTGTACCAAGTTTCAACTTTGGCCCACCAAGGGAAAAGGTTTGGGCACCCTATCTAGAGACAGTGTTTAATTTGCAACCATTTGAATATAGCTCAGCCTTCCAAGCATGTAGATAAAACTACAGAGGCCAAGAAAAAAGTATATATATATAAAAGGCCTTATCTAGAGCCAGTGTATGGTTTGTCCATTTTGGGCTACTGTAGAAACATGGCAGTCCAACATGGCGGACTCCAGAGGAGGACCCACTCCACTGTAGATAAAACGACTTATTCTGAGGTAACGTAAAGACAAGGTGTTTATGCACTAATGAAGACATACCAATGAATATTTTATTCCACTTCTGACAATAAATCCACCTAAATATTTCACACGGGACCTTTAACAGGAAGCACCAGGGAGAGATTACTTCAAATAGTGTCTGTGTGGGAGGACAGAAGGAGAACAGGATCTCAGCGGCATCCTTTGCAGCTTTTCTTGTTTAAAGCTACATTTGAGCCAACTTCAACTTTTATTGTGGATATTCTAACGTCCATCTACAGCTATAATACACTAACGTTACGGAGCTACACCACACCAATGACTTCATTGATCGCACTGGAACGTAACGCTGCAGTTTACTAACAGCAGCGCTGTTTCAGGGCCTGTGGGGTTGAGATGAAGCCCACACTGTGTTATCGATGAGAACAACGAACGGCGGCAACTTCAACTGTAACTCACCTTAAATATCGCCACACAGGCGCAGGTATATCCGAAGTGAACTCCAATCGCTGCCATGCTCAAAGATTTCAGGGCAGAGTCCCACGCGCATGCGGCCAGTGTTCTGCTCTCAGGATCAACTTCCGGTTGAACTCTATCAGAACAAAAGCGTGATACTTCAATAAGCCCCTACGAAACTCAACTAAATAACAACATTATAGTGAATACTTAATTAATATGTCTACTTTCTCCAGCAATTCAAAATACATGATTATTTTGCTTCTTCTTTTAACCAAATAAAAAAAGTTATCTTATATTTAAACAAACATCTGAACGTGTATCTTCAGACACCTCACATTTAAAAACTTAGAACAAAAACATAAACCAAAAATATTATCCTCTTGTGTTGTGTGTGTATTGTTTCGTTTCATTTCATTAATGCATAGTTATTAATTTATTTTCTTAATCACTAAATAGCCTGTTTCGGAGGTAAACGTATATTTTACATGCCGAATTGAATTATAAATACAGAATAATAATACAAATAAAAAATCAATATTTTCAGGTAAATATACCAGAAAAATCAAAGGTACTGATAATGCCGAAAATGTCAGTGTTCTAGGCCATTATTTCATTAACTGGTTGTAATGTAGTAGTTGATGGAGTTTAAGATCATTTTACTGGTCACACCATTGTAATAGTCTGTAAAGTGTGGTGACGGAAGTCCTTTGCGGTGTTTGGCTGGGACACTATGCAGGCCTATCTAATAATAGACAGACGCTACCATGTCGCTGCTGTCCCTCGCCTTTTTGCTGTTTTTCAGAGGGTTTACTTTTTCTGAGGCAGGCAACTGTGAAGGTTAGACTGCATGGTGTGAGTAAGTAGTTTACAGTGGCTATTGTTTACCAACACTGTGCTGTATTTTCAAGTCACATTAATATTTGAAAAAGAATTAGCCATGCGGTCACTCTGTTCTCCCACTATCATAATCGGCCCTGCACGTATGCCGTAAACTGGGATGTAACCTAACACATGTGGCACCAGGAGCCGGGGATCGAACCCACAACCTTCCGATTATTGTATTGTATTGTATTACTTTATTAATGCCACAGTGGGGAAATTTCCTTGTCACAGCAGCAATTACTTGAAATAAATAAATACAGATATAAAAAACTATAATAAAAACTAAACTATGGTATGGTGGTAATTAAAAAAAAAAAAAAACAGAAACTACAACATTGATCAGGTGTTGTAGAGTCTGACAGCGGCAGGGATGAAAGACCTTCGGAACCTCTCCTTCTTACACCGTGGGTGTAACAGTCTGCTGCTGAAGGGGCTACTCAGGGACCCCACAGTGTCACGTGGAGAGGTGTTGTCCATGATGGATGTCAGCTTCACTAACATCCTCTTTTCACCCACTTCCTCAATGGAGTCCAGAGAACGAAAAGGGAACGACCTCTGAGCCACAGCCGCAAAACACCCACATAGCATAACTATAAGTTAGATTGATATCACATAAAGGCTACATGCAGGGTTGTATACTTTAAAATGTAATCTGATACAAGTATATTGATTTATTTTATCCTTTGAATTTTATTATCTTTTTCTATGCGTGTAGCATGACGGAACTAAAGTCTTGTTCCCTTTTCTGCAGAAATGACGACATTTTATTTTTTTTGTTGTGAGACTTGTGAAACATTGTAATGTGTGTGCATGTGCATGTGAGTATATAGTTCTTTATTTCAAAATGTATTTTATTCATCTGTGATGGATTACAGTTCCCTTTTTTTGTATCCTGATTAGATAACATGTTACATGTAATCTGTTAATCCTGAAAATCTGGCTACATTCAACATGTCAACACGTCAACATGCCATGTGTCTACCAATGAAAACAGACTCATTGTACTGTAACAGATATGTTCATTGTACCATTAGATGAGGAGGGGAGATGCCACCCCCCTTGTTAACCGAAACCGGCTCCCTGTTGGTGGAAAAGGCCATTTAGTGTAGCAGAGCTCAGCCAGACAAATCGCCTTTTTCTCTCAGTCCCACCCTTCTGTCATTTTTGTCTTGGATCTTTAATTCTCTTAACATTAGCTTATATAAAGAACCACTATTCTCTTTGCTAGGGAACTAGCAAAGTGTCTGTTAACAGACAAATATGAAGCCTCTTGTTTGTGTGTGTGTGTGTGTGTGTGCGCTTTCCATAAAGTCCACAAATAAGCAAAAGTGACGAGCAGCCTGCTCAGCCCTACTAACAGTGAACTGGTCTGCAGTGTGTGTGGGCTTTCTCCATAGACTGTATGGCAGTGTGACCTCAACCCACAGAGAACTCACTCCCAGCCTGGTGGAGGAAGAGCTGATCCAGGCCTGCAATAACGCACAGGGGAAGGAGGCAAGGCTGGTGAGAACATAGACACAAGCATGGAAACACAACTTTAAACAAAAACTCTGGGGCAGTAGAGCTAGCACCCCATCTCTAGTATCTGTGTTTGCTGGTTCAATACCCCACAGTCCAGTCGAAGTGTCCTTGGGCACCGCATCACTCCTCCACTTACATTTCATCAGCATGAGCCTCAGAATCTACCCATACAAATGTACGTCCAGGATACTGGGCTGATCAAAAGTATTTATATGCTATCCTAGTGTTACTACCTGGGAGCCAGTAGTGATGCAGCAACCCGTGTCATTGCATCAGTGTCTCGACCTCTGGCCTCTCATGTCCCTGTTGAGAAGATCTGCCAACGCCTCAGTGGCAGAGACACACAGATCTGTCAGCTCACATACGGTAAAGCTTATTTTAACAACAACTGACGATTAATGTGTGTGAACACAATATAAAGACTATGTCGGTGTTTTGTGGTTGTCTGCAGAGCCTCAGCTGAAGGATCTGAGCAGCGATGGGCTCAAAAAGCTGAGAGTCGCAGAGCTGAGGAACATCTTAGCCTCATGGGGAGAAGAGTGTCGGGGGTGCCTGGAGAAACACGAGTTTGTCAGCCTCATCCTGGAGAAAGCGCTACTGCATGCTCACAGTATGGAACTATAAATAGGAATTAATATGTAATGTGGAATAATTTATCCACACAGCAAAAAGGCAACACACACTTATATTAAACCATACAGACCTTGTTAATATATTTAAATGAAAAATGTCACTGGAACGTATTTGATTTTTCATTGTTATGTTGATGGACACTGCACTGTCCCATACTGCAATGCATTACTGTTAACTAATTCATGTTCTCAAATTACTTAATTCATATATGTTAAATAAATAATGGCAGGTCAGAGGAACAAACTGCGACAACTATTTCCACTGATGTGCAGCTGACTGATAGCCTTAGCACTGATTCTTCGTTGTTTCTCGAACTTTTTAAAAGTAACATATAATATTGTCATATTACATTCTAAGTACCACCATTTTGGCCGATACTGTAAAATACAGTAGTGTAGACTGATCCTATTCAGCTACAGACAGTTCACGCAGGAGGCAATATTATTCCTAATAAGATTATTTATTGTTGACTGTTGTTGAAACCTCAACAGAACCGATTCAAGAACCATAGATGATTTGGTATAAAAGGGGTACTCCCGGTCCGAATAGTTCCTTTTTGTTTCTGAACCATTCATTTTAGCTCCACTTACTATCTTGCCATCACAGTTTAGCTCATAACTAATCATGGATAAGATAAGATGTAGCACAGTCTTGTTTAAGTATTTTCATTCAAAATGTAATGTTTTTAAATGAATTAATTACATTTTTGAAAATTATTTCAGAGATTCCTCAACATACTTCTACAGGGAGCTTGCATACCACCAGTGGTACAAGTAACATAGTTTGAGAACCAGTGCTCGGTAACATTTTATGAAAAAGTAAAAAATGGGTGACATCTTTAAATGTGCTTGTTTTGGAGGACAAGCTCTCTAAACCCCTAAGCGATATGAATAATAAAAATGACAAACAGTATATTTTAAGATGAAGTCAGTAAATATTTGGTGTTTGATATTTTAAAGCTTGATAAAAAAAATTGTTGTCAATTCATTTTCTGTAATTTTGACTGTATTTTGGAAGACAAAATGTATTATTTTGTCTTATATTTTCCCCTATACTGGGCTCTGCAGAACCTACAAGCTCTTGTTTCATTTCACAAAAGAATGCAACTGTACAAGAACTTTGTCTAAACAATATACAGGCTAATCTAATCAAAGAATGATGCCAACTTTCAGTACCAACACATTACAGTCAGGGGCATATCCAGAGGATATTATCTTTACCTCTTCCACTCCACACTGTCTTTCAAAGCTGTAGTGGGCTAGAGTGAAGATACCAGTACCATATCAAACTAGATGACCTAATGCATCCATTCTTACCAAGCCTATGAGGAAGGGGACTAAATAAAGCACCAGAGGCTAAATTTTGGTGATGGAAAAACTGGCAAAGCCATTTTGGAAGGGATCCCTTGGCCTTTCTCAAGATATCTGAATTAAGTGGCAAGTTCTATGGGTACCGCAGATTTTGGGTGTGGAATAAATGTGTTATTTTTGCCTAGTGTATTTGTATACTTCTGCATACTGGGGTCCAGTTAGTGTCACACAGTGTCCCCCCAGTCAAAAAACTCTGGCCCTACTATATATATATATATATATATAAAGTTAGCAGCTCATTTTTTACTGAACAAGTCAGCGTTTTCAGAAAATATTTCTTACAGTCAAACATCCGTTTGGCACTAAATGATTCCCTAATTTGCAATCATCCCTTTGGATTTAAATCCTATGGAATGCATTCTCAGCACTGCCTGTCACTGAACAGATCAAAAAGTGCAATTGTTGGGGTGCCCGGTTGGCTCAGTCGGTAGAGCTGGCGACCCATATCCGGAGTTGCTGAAGCGGCTCGGGTTCGAGTCCGACCTGCAGCCCTTTGCTGCGTGTCGTCCCCCCTCTCTCTACCCCCCCAAATGGGGGCATGAAAAAAGCAAAAAAATAACAAAAGTGCAATTGCTGATGAATCAAAAATAAAACAGAATATATAAACAGTGGCATAAGTGCTTGTAAATGGATTGTAATAAAAAAGCTTTTGATTATTTAATTTGCCAACAATCAATTCAATAAATCAAAAAAGACTTTGTTACACTGCTAGTGTTAACAATTTTTAAGAAGCTCACACAGGGGCGCAGCCAGGAATTTTGGGCCCCATAACAAAAAAATCTAATTGGGCCCCCTCTGCGCAGCTGTTGTCACCACATCTCTAGGACCTAACTGTCCCATCAAAAGCTTTACATAACTAATTAAAGGCTTGCAACTGCCCACAAGGGTGGGTGTGAATGCAAGTTTTTGACTGTGCGAAGACAGTTCAGTTGATTGAATAAGCCTGCATGAAAACCTGCAGCCACACCTGCCCTTTCACCAGTCAGTTTGACACCTGTGCTCTAGGGTACTGCAGGGAGTATGTGAGCTCAGGGGCGCCATATAAGGGGGAAAAGTTAGGACAATTCTAAGGGGCAATGACTGACAGGGGCCCCAAAAAATAGGTAAAAACTAATATAAAATTATTAAACCATCATCATTAGTAAGTATATTTCAAATATAATAATAACATTAATGATCTCTCTGTTTTTACTTGTTTTTGGGAGTAAAAGTTAAATATCCCCACTGACCAAAAAGTAAACATCCATATTGACCGACCACCCCCCTGTATCTGCATGAAATGGTTTGGTCCTGCCTTAGCACTTATCAGTGACGGTGTTTAGTTGCAGTAGATGCGCCAGAACTACAGTGATTACAATGTTAACTAGTAAATCAAAATCTGGTTTTCAAAAAAGGAAAGAGAGAGAGGAAAGACAAAGGAAAGGATGTCAATCTGTAACCCAGTTTTTCACCAAGAAAGGAGCCTATAGTCTGTGAGTGGTATTAACCTGTTGGCTTAATGTCCATAGGGAAATAAGCTAGCTAGCTACAGACTAGTGTTAGCCTACATTAATCACCATTTAATCAGTTCAGGGAAACGTTTAGCAAGATATTCATATTAAATCATTGTCCCTGCCCCTTTTAGCAGACTTAACAACAGATGAGTCAGCAGCACCCCAGTCTCCCCATAACTGTACCCCTCCCTGTCCCAGTGAAGGTGAGCAACATTGTGTTCAATGACAGGCCAGTTAGCATCATTGCAGGGAGTCTGTGGGGATTTCTCTGTCTCTCTTGCTCTTTTTACCATTACAAAAAAGAAAATGAAATATTTATTAATGACAGAAATTCAAACACATTAATAGCAATTGTTTTCTCACATAATGATCATTATGATATAAAATAAAAAAACAACAACCTACTGTCTGTACTGGATGCTGGACAGTTGGAAACAGTGAGTAGTTTATCTGAGCCTGCATGTAAGATACAGACAGTAGTAAAATAACCCAGTTTGATACGCTCATTTAGATTGAATTATGGAATGACATCTATAGATACAGACTTTATTATGATAATAATTAATAATAATAATTAATTTCGTTAAGAGAATTTTCCATTTTGAAATTTTACAATAAAAATACATTGAGACTGTAAAAGATGGCCTTTAGCACATTTTTATGGTTGCTTTTAATCTTGCATCAAATAGTGAACTGCATACTGTATGCAGACTTGCATGCATGTACAAATCACCAGCAGTAAATATTGTGCTAGTAGCCTACTAGTATTGAACTACAAGAAGCAAGACAGTTGCAAGCCTTTAATTAGAGTTATGTAAAGCTTTTGATGGGACAGTTAGGTCCGAGAGATGTGGTGACAACAACTGCGCAGAGTGGGCCCAATTTGATTTTTTTGTCATGGGGCCCAAAATTCCTGGCTGCGCCCCTGGCCCCACCCACTGAGTTTGATGGCTGGCTTTGACAGTTTTAAGTAATTCTTAAAGCACTACAACGCAGGACCATGAAATGTAAATGTAAATAGTGAAATAATTATATATGTACTTTACATAAAATGATTCGGTATTTGAATTAATTAATGACACATTTAAGTAATTATTTAATGGTGTATTTGTTTATTTAATTGTGGCACTTTCAGTCCTCCATACCAGGTGTGCTGCTGCATAGTTGGAATGAAAACCTGCAGCCACACCGGCCCTTTCACCGATCAGTTTGACACCCCTGCCCTAGAGGTATCCATACGTCCATTTGAGAAACACTGCAGTAGGTGACAAATGGCAAATGTGATGTATTTTTAGATAGAGAGACATCACGAAATTAAATTATTTTCGGACAAGTGGACGACCTGCTCTACCTCCTGAGCCACCGGTGCTGAATGTTGACAGTAGCCTGTGTGCTTGTCCTTCACTTCTGGCACTCTCAGTTGGACCAAGACAGGGCAGTCAGCACAATTAGGGTTTATGCCTCAGCCAATTCAGTCTTTCATGGGCCTGTTGATGGCCTGCCATTGGGTCAGCATCTGTTAGTATGTCAATTTGTGAAGGGGGTGTCCAGGCCATACCTTGCGGGCACCAAGCTGAGACTAGCCTCTTGTAATGAAGTCTTTCATTAGGGTCCCATATGAGCCTATGCTGAAGCAGACTTGAAAGCCTTGTCACTCAAGACAACTTCTCTTTTGGCTCTCTGCCCTGCTAAACTGGTTGGAGAAGTGCATGCTCTTGGTTAATGATGATTGCTTAAGGTGAAGGGCAAGAGTGTTGCCTCTTAAAGGACCAGTGTGTAGGATATTGTGGCATCTAGCTGTGAAGTGGCAGTTTACAACCATCTGTATACAGATCAGCCTTCCAAGCGTGTAGGAATCTACAAACTAGTGTTTGGTTTGTCCATTCCATACTGTAGAAACATGGCAGTTCAACATGGCATCCTTTATTTCAGTGAAAGTAGTAACCACAGTGTAAAAATATTCCATTACTAGTAAAGGTCATTCATCCACTGCATTCATAAACTTAATTAAAAGTACAAAAGTATTAACAGCAGAATGTACTGAAATGACACAGAATGTTATATCATTATATAATTCTGATAGAGCATGAGGTACATATAGTGCAATGATCCACTTATTACAACCTTTCTTTGCAGAACCAGTGCAGGAAGACAATTTTTTCTGTAGTCTACTGTTTAACTGCTGGCAATTAAAAATATATAACTTTTATTTACAATGGTCACTGTATCTGTCACTGGTGGTGAACCAAGTTGTTGTAGTCTGGCACTCCATCTTCTATAATTTCTGTGGTTGCTCTGATGTTCACAAAAATTACCTGCTGTCAGACTGTAACAGAAAGTCAGCTCTATAACTGCAGTCCTGTCTCAGGGAACAGTTCTCCTGTGTGAATCAGCCCTATGTTTTAAAGAATTTCTTCCTTAGTTCCACCTTGGCTGCATTTTCGACCACACAGAAGTCAGCTGAAACACAAAACACAGCTGATTACTTTCATTAGTTAAACACACACGCACACACACAATTACAGTATATGCAACATGTCATATATAAATACGAGTGATTGCACCTGTGAGGATGTTTTAGATGTTCCCCTGAGCAAGATGGAAGAATTTATCCACAAAGGTCCTCTTGTTTATTGAGGCTCTAAGCCATCATCATGATCAGCAGAAACTGACATTTATATACAATCAGCAAACAATATAATTGCATGATCTATTACACTGTGTCTCAAACTATGGTACATGTAGCACTGGTGGCACATGAGCTGCTTCTAGTGTTACGCAGAGGAATCTGAATGCATTTTAGACGATACAATGTGACCATATTGCAGGTCTTAGAAGTTTTTAAAATCCTGCTAATGTAATGTGGAATTGAGTATCTAAACAGCACTTACTCTGAGAACTGTCCGGTTGTTTAAAGCCGTTGGCCCTGCAGTCCTCACAGGCCAGACCACTGGTCTCTGCCGGACAGCTGCACTGTACAGGCCAGCTGCTGTACAGATCTGCTGCTACCTCACCATGAGCACCCATACTGTCACTAATATATGTCACCTCTGACTGGCTGCATTCACAGGGCCCTGTGCTCTGTGTTGGAGAACAAGGGGGGCTGCACTGTTCATCATGCTCCACAGGTATGGAGGATGAGAGGCTCTGCTGGGCAATAATAGGGGCTCCATCACCTAGGCTGTGGGGTTGGTCAGCAGGGGGACAGCTAGGTGGAGGAAGCAGCTTGCTCAATCCCAGAAGTACCTGAAGAAGGTTCAGTTTTAAAGCATTTCTATCTCACCCACAGTCACTAAAGTGCTTCCAGCTGGAGAATAATTATGCACAACCAACACACAATAAAAGATTATCAGAGATATCATTAGTTGATATTATTAGTACAGTAACCGATGCAACAATCACATGCCTTAAATTCCATACTTAAGTAATGTGATAGCACCTGAGCCAGATCTTAACAAGCTAGGATATGGTTTTATTAGCTTAGAATATTTGTTATGTATACAGTTCCTATAGTGCTCACATTCTCCATGCTTGGCCTGCTGCGGGGGCGGCTAGCAGTGCAGTCCAAGGCCAGACCCAGAAGGCTGAGAGCCATTGCAGTTGGCCACCGACCAGCTGCTGCATCCAAAAACTGCAGACAAGAGTCCATGCCACCACTGTCCTCCATCTCAGTGATTAGCAAATCTCTCTGACAGAGCAGACAAACAGACAGAGAGACAGACTGGTGGAGCATGTAATTGTTAAGTACAGCACATCACAAGGTGCTAACATTTTGATGAGTATTCTGTAGGTATCTATACCTATTAGGGCTGTAATGGTTCATGTATTTAGCCATACAGCGTTATCAAATGATGTTAAGGTTAGCACATGAAGCTGACTGGAGTGCCATTAGACACAGGAGGTGGAAGACCCAGCTGTGACCTTTAACTCAGAGAGAGTAATGGATAAGATTAGGATTTGTCGGCTTCACAGTTGTAGGGTCTTGCATCTAAAATGCTACAGCTCAATACAGTGCAATACATAAATGTTTGGGGGCTTTGAATGTTTAAATGTAGCCAAGGTGGATCTAAATGATGATATTCCTCCTTTTTGTGCTGGTTTGTTAGTATTATTTGTCTATTATATTACAGCTAAAATTGCTGAGAGCTGGAATGAGCTAGAAACATGGAATTGGAGTGCAAATCATAGACTGTCTAATTCAAAATATCTGTAGTCTCTGTGACATCCCCGTCAGCCCCCTGTGGTCGGCTCTGATCATCGCCATCTTGGCAGTCCTGAGTCTGCCAGCTCCCAGCTAATCCAAAAAATGGACAAGGAGGTGGAGCATGGGGGGAGTTTAGGCAGGCTGAATGAAGCCTGGTTACTGAAAACAGCCACCTGTGACGGCACCCACCTATCACTCAAAAGCAGCAAAGTCCTTAATTATGCAGTAATTTAAGTCCTAATATCAGCTCATTGTTGCTTGCTATTTATTCTATTCTTTTTTCATAGCATAAGAGATCCCTTTCAGTTTTATAGCCTGTTGTGACCTACTGCCTTTTTGGAAAGTGTGTTCAATGTTTGTACAGTGTAATGCAGAAATGTTTAAATTGTTCCTTTTTATAAGTATACTAGTAGTATACTAACAAATGTAGTTGCCAGTGGGCAAATTGCCCCATTCTGACACAGTCTCACCAAAAACTAAAAATGACCAGTTCATACAGTACAGGCAGGATTAATTTCAAGGCGGCTGGGAGCATTGACTGCAACAGAATGCAAAGGGGTTCCCATTTCTCTGGCACATCATAGTATATTATCTCACCAGTGGTTTTTCCTTAGGTATGTCCTCTTGGACTTTCCGTCCTGTGACTGTTTCCATTACAACCTGAGAGCAAACAAACTGTGATTAATGACATGAAAGTGTGAATAATGTTTTCATCAGAAATCATAGTCCAACTTTCATCACATTACAATTTGCTTATTTTATATTATACACAGCACATACAGTATAGTACACATAACTCCATACATCGATGCAATAATCATCTTGATTTTTTTATAGCCAGAGGTGGACACTAATTCATTTAATCTAATTAATACTGTAAAACGCAAAAGTAGAGAGATCACATTTAAGCCAGCAATATGGACTGTCCTCATTCACTGATTTCTGATGTACGTTTTGTCATGTTTAATTATATTATGTCATATCTTTCTGCATTTTCTCATTTACCCTCCTCTATTACAATCTGCTGATGCAACAACCCAAAGCGTATATGATACAAATCACCATTCCAAAGCTGTAAACATCCACGCTGAAGGACAGCTTGCGATCTCGGATGTACTCCTCAGGGAGGTATCCCAGGTTGCCATGAGATTTTGAATCCAGACTGATGGTACAAGACTGATGGGCTGAATGAGGACGGAGATGAGCCATCCCAAAGTTAGACAGCTTGGGCAGCAGGGCTTCATCCAAGAATATGTTAGCACTGTGCAGAGAAGCCATATAGACACTGCGTCAGCTTCTGAACTTTATGTGTATCATGAAATCAAGCATGTGTGTGTGTTTGTGGGTAAATGATTTTATGTGGCATAGGGATAATACAGTGGGTTTAGCCACTGCTCCTCAGAATGTCTATGCATGTGATTGGGGTCAGACACCCTTTTTGAGCCTCTCAGGAGTGGAGGAGTGGAGTTTGTAAAACTGGCACTGTACAAAGTCACATAGTGTATCTGACGTGTGTGTGTGTTTGGTGGCTTGTACCTGGAGATGTTGCCACAGATCACAGGGCAGGGCTGGGCTGTATGGAGGTAATGCAAGGCCTTTGTGACTCCCTTGATAATTGTGAGACGTTCTTGCCAGGACAGAGGGGGACTTCCATCCTGCACAGTAACAACACCCCATTTTAGATGGGACATAGAAATGTGTTTTCAAATAGCTTAAAATAGCCAGACTAACTTAAAGTCCTGGAAAAGTGGATGTGAAAAACCATCACAAACCACCAACCAATTATTTGAGAATCACTCTGTACTCAGAATCAGAATCAGAAATACTTTATTGATCCCTAGGAAGAAATACATTTGTCATTTATATCTTGAAATACCAGAGCGGTTTAATGTATGTGTGCCAAACTAAACATAAACTTAAACTAAGAGTTGGCGAGCATTAAGGCAGCCATTAAGAAAAGTAACATGGATTATGTCTTTGCTCTGCACTATAAGTATGGTTTGGCTCAAATTTATTGGCATTGAAAGAGTCCTACCCAATTCAAGAGGGAGTAATTCAATTAACCAGCTCAGGCATTTTGGATTTATGAATTAAAAGCAATGGAACCTTATGGACTGAAGCACAGGATTTTAGCTGTTCTTCTGTGACTATTAAAATGTAAACTTGTATCTCTCTCTACAGCTAATCTGAACTCTACAGAAGAGATGAATAAGTCCCCTGACCGTCCCATTTAGTGGTGTAGAGGGACAGTAGGAGTATGTATAGGAGATCTGTCCTACGGTATTGAGCATATCCTTTTCAGTCAGCTGGACATGGATCTTAGTTTTCTTATTGATTTATGCAAAGTGGTGTAATTCTTGTCATTCTGTTCAATTATTCATGCTGTTTTTAATTTACCTTGCTGTGTCTATGTCTTTTCTTATTATGTATTTTTGTCTGATATGTTTTTTTATATATACTTTCACTTTTGTAAAATAGATAAAACACTTTGAAAAAAAAAGAGAAAAAGGATAACTGGTCATGTGACCCAGATGTGGCTTATCTGTCACACCTGTAAGTGCTCATGTAATTTGCGAACCTGAGGAAGCGAAACACGTTGTTTGCTACTAATAAATCACAGTAAAGTCATTCCAGTGTGCAGCGGTTAATTCTGATTTTTAAAATACACACCCAGGTTAAACAATTAAAAATGTAAATTTTCCAGGACAGTAGCTAATTTAAAGGATATTTGGTTGTTTTAAATCAATTCTCAGGTGTTTCCATAACTGGAAATTGTTGTGGTTTACAAACAGTACAGGCTATGCCTTATCACATTACAGATTTATTTAAATACCCATATCATAGTGAAAGAGGCAAACTCTGAATGCATTAAAGTGGTTGACCATTCGTGGTCAGATAAAAACTGGCTTTGTATACTCGTGTGATAAGAAGTGGCCTGTACAGAAAGATCGCAGGTTTTCTCAGTATTAATTTGTGTAAGGAAGTTTGTTTCAGGACGTTATTACACAGTATTAATTAGTCAGTATTATCATTTCCTCAGTTTAGATTTTTTCTGTTTGTTCTAAATTTGTTTAGTTTGTTCTTATTTGTTCTAAAGTTCCACTTATATTTTGTCATGACAAAAGCTACACTGTCTGCCACAAGTTCACTTCCTGTTTATTGATATTGAAAGTATTTCCTAGCAACTACTTTTCTCTGGCCTAGTAAACAAGTCACAAACAGACACACATACCCTAATGCACAGACAGCAGAATGAACCAGCAGATGTTAATAAATCACAAATGTACCTTATGGTGTAGTCTGTCGAAGAGCAATCCATTGCGGATGTAAGGATAGACCAGACAGTAGCGGCCCTCCTCAGAGAAACAGGACAACAATTCTAAGATATTTGGATGTCGGTACCTGTAACACATCACCACTTTAAATATTTAACACACTCTATCATTTAGTCAAAGAAAAGTACTTTGGTAGTGAGGGTTGACACATACCAATGATGAATTTCCATTTCTTTCCTGAAGCTATCCCACGCCTTCTTCCAGGACACCTTATTTATCTGGAGAATTATAGATAGGAATACATTATGTTACTGTATGACTAATGACTATAGAGAATGTAAACTGATTATATATAAAAATCATTCAGCACAGAATACACATTTTCTTTAGTCTTAAAGAAAAAAAAAGTTTCTCCATGAGCAAACTGAGCAAAGTCAATTCCCTGATGAATATGTGATTGAAAAACCAGAAAGTGGACATTGCGTTAAGATTTGCTGTCAAGAACAATGACGCTAAAAGAGCTACAGTGTCAATGAGACAGCTTTAGAGCTCTTGGACTTTTGGGTCACACATATCCCAGACTTGTCTGTGTACTAGAAACAGAGCTCATACAGATATCAGTCGTCTTGAGGGTTTAACAGCAAACAAGTATATTTAAAAAAAATTTAAAAAGTCAGATTATTCTGTAAAAGCCGAGTTGAGACCAAAGATTTACAATGTAAATCAATTTTGAAACACTGCAGGGAAAAGTTGCAGTGGTGTGAGCTGGTTCCCTCAGTTCTTTGCAAGTAGTTGCAAGTTTCAACTTCTCTCATTGCAAATCTTTGGTCTGAACTGGACTTTAAAGTGTTATAGTCAATAATCACCTGTTTAAAAAGCTTAACTGCAAATGTTCTATCGCCCAACTGTGCCCTGTAGAAATCAGAGAAGTGGCCCTCAGTGATTCTCATTTCATGATGAAAATCTCTGGTTCCTTCTATGATGTCTTGGAAAGTGAGTATGGGTGGCTGATTTTTTCCAGCAGAGTTCACTGAAATACAGAGAAGGGCCAGTATGAATCTCTTCATTCATGCTTGCAATAATCACTCAATAATAATCATTCATCAATCCATTAAAAATGTCCACTTTACTTACTGGGACATATTGCTTCACTTGAAGAACTTGTCTCTAGTTGGACAGATTCCTTATCAGAGAAAATAAAGACAGGATGTCTATTTATTCTTTCTACTGCTCACAGGTCATACAGACTGCCTCCTGTCTCAGGACTAAACACATTCAACAACGGATCAAACAATTGTACCCTTACTTTATTTGCTGACATCTGCTCTGAGGACTCTGCATGTTGATTGCTGGGTAGCAAAGGTGACTCTGAAATAGACAGATCGTGCACATATTTATTCCTCTGAAATTTCCCTCCAAAACTCATTAACTTTCCCAGGAAGCAATGGACTTAGTGGACAACCCGCTCTACCTCCGAGCCACAGCCGCCTCCTAATCTGTTAGTCTCTCTTTTGGTTTTCATCTATAGTAACAAACTTTGCAGATCTGAAAGCTCCACAAATATAGTTACTAGATGTTGCACAAATGATTAACCACAGTTAAATGCAGTAGCCTATCAGAATATGAGTACATGTAGTAAGTGTGTTGCTTTGCAACAGCTGCGCATGGAGATTCAGCAGCCAGTTAAACTTAAAAAAAAAAAAAATAAATTTAAAAAAATATTTTTGTTTTAATCTGTTATTCTTTTCCACTTAATTGCTGTAAACATTAATGAAGGATGTCTGACTGGATTTTATTTTTAAGGGCTACGCCAAAATTGTTCAAATCGATTGGATGAGGATGATCACTGACACTGTTCAAAATTTTGTGATACCCGTATGTCAGATAGGATAAAAGTTATAATTTTTTACACACACCACTCTGCACCATCAAAATATAATATACATAAATTGTGTAATTATGACACTTACATTACAGTTGGCAGTCGTCTTTAATTGTTTATAACTGACCTTGAGCTTGACTCTGGAAAAGCTGCAGGGCCCTGTGGTGGCCCATGTCCTGCAAGATTTTAAGCAGGTCCTGCACTCTTGAATTCTGCTGGGCCCAGGACCACAGCAGCTCCCTAGTAGGACTCTGACCTGCTGCATCTATGCGTTCCAACATGCGAAGTTCTAACAAGCTGGGGACAATCCGAACAGCTGGAGGCCAAGAAAGATTGTTGACATAAACAAATTTCAAATCAAGCTTACTTTTTTTGTACCCAGAACACACCTTACACACTGGACCTTTAAGCCAGTTATTTAACTGGTTTATATGAATGACTTGAAGTTGCTTCCACAGTCTGGTAATATACAACATAGTAAAGCAACCAATGTGAAGAGTTAGTGACTTTTAAACAGGCAAATGTAATGGTAATTTTATAAGACAGAATTATTTGATGGCGGTATTTGTTAAACATGATCCAGAAACATCTTTGGTAATGACAGCAAGACCCAAGCACGATGAGACTTTTGTATGTTGTGCCGGTTGCCAACATATACAAAATAATCTATATATATAAAACATTCAGTGCTGTTTGGTATTTATTTTATGCTAAGCTTAATGTAAAATTTTAGTATTCTGAAATTCATATGGTTGAGTATAATTAAATTGAAACATTTAAATGTTATATATGCACACATACCAATCTGAGGTCAAAACATTGCAAAATTTGGCCAAATTATAAACTAAAAGTGGTACTAAATGAAGAGCCATTTGGGAGCTGAAAGACACAACACTTATTGCTGAGCTGAGGCAAATTATCTGGATCACTAAAATGGGCCTCAACTCTCATCACTTAAAGCCAAACTTATACCTGTGTCTCAACAAATCAACTGCAGTTAACAGGTCATATTTCTCTGTCTCTATTATGTAATTATTTTTTTTTTTTTTTGCATTTTTGACAATAATACAGACTTTATAGGCTTCTTTTTGACAAATTCATAGTTTTCTTGTCCCTGATGCTTGGTTGTTGTTCCTATGATGCGTCATTCATCATCATCATCCTCCTCAGTAATTTCTATTAGTATAGTTGTTGCTACTGTTGTTGCTGTGCTTTGTCTCTGTCTTTCCCTTTTTTTCCCCACAACAGTGTGAACAGCACAAATCATATGTAATTTGTTCTTTCCAGGTCAGATTTTCTGCTGTGATTTTACAGTCACTCTAAATCAGTGGTTCCCAACCTGGGGGTCAGGACCCCCACTAGGGGTCATCAAATCTTCCTGGGGGACAGTGAGGCCTTCTTGTTTTTAAGGGCTGTAGAAAAAAATATACACAGTTGGCCTATTTCTCAGCAATTTGTTTATTTCTGTGAAGAATAAGTTATTTTTTAGTTTATTATAAAAGTTTGATTTATTATTTAAACTTTGAAGAGCTGAACACAAGCTATATTCACAGAGCCTTCACTTCCTTGTCCTGCATTAGTAAAGTATACCAGTACACCAAGTGTCAGGGAGAAGGAAACACTGAATTTTCATATTGAGTATGTATGGTTGTTAAATATGATAATGCAGAAAATGCAATCTCTGAGTATCAATATTTACAGTAAATAATCTGTTAAAAATTCTTCCAAATCTCAAACGTCCTGTAGTTATTGAGTTAATCTGAAATAACTATAGATTGTCACCTAGTTAATTCTATGATAAAAAAAGAGGTCTTTTAAGGAAAGAGGTTGAGAGCCACTGCTCTACATTTACATTCATCATGTGGGACACTTTAAGACTGTGACCTGACAGAATTCAAAAATAATGTCAACAGACAAACATAAAAATCAGATCTGAGCAATAAATCAGAATTGAGAGCTAAGGCCTACAATATGAAACTAAGTCAGGGCTATGTAAGTCAAATGATGTCAGCGACAACTTGCTGTTATCGATGGTTATTATGAGGCAGCCCATCTGATAAACCACGAATCAACTGTTTATATAACTGCTATCTCCACCAGATTGAACTCAAACTACAGTAATAACCGATGTTCCTCACCTAGTTGACGCCATCCGAACCTGCCATCTCCGGTATCCATGATTTTGCACAATGTTTCGACGAGAACCGGAGGAACATCGTAGAGAAAGGTGAAGGAGTCCATCTCACAGGGCGAGTCGACATTGGTCCACTACAACTTGATTGAAGTTCACTGTTGCTCATATACGGAAACTCCCTCTGCACGCCCCGTTACATGACGACTAATGAAGCCATTATCCAGTGAGTCAGTACAAGGAAGTATAAACACATTCAAGAAAACCCCCAAACGTCACTGTCTTGTCTTCAGAACGACCACGTTCCCATTAGGGCGAACAATCGCATTTTGCACATGAAAAATAATAAAAGGGCAGTTTTTCTTTACTCTCCTAATCAACGAAGAACGTAAAAAGGTCTTTGGTTGGGTACTTCATGTCTGTTAACTGTGTTTATTGTTAAAAAATACATATCCTGACAGTAGTACACGAGACAGATAATCGTGTTCCTCTGGCTCCTCCTAGTGCTCCTAATGGGATTTGCAATAATCTACCAGGCCTGAATGAAAACCAATCAGAGCTGAGGAAGATATTATAGACACTTGGGGTTAGCTAATTGAAGATAGCTGATTGTTAAGTCTCATTCTCATTAATTCAGAACGCTGCAGCACGAGTGCTGACAGGAACTAGAAAAAGAGATCACATCTCTCCTGTACTAGCTTCTCTGCACTGACTTCCTGTAAAATGTAGAATAGAATTTAAAATCCTCCTCCTCACCTATAAAGCTCTTCATGGTCAGGCCCCTTCATATCTTAAAGAGCTCATAGTACCCTATTACCCCTCTAGAACACTACGTTCTCTGAATGCTGGGCTACTTGTGGTTCCTATAGTCTCTAAAAGTAGAACAGGAGCCAGAGCCTTCAGTTACCAAGCTCCTCTCCTGTGGAACCAGCTTCCAGTTGTGGTTCGGGAGGCAGACACCCTCACCACATTCAAGAGTAGGCTTAAGACATTCCTCTTTGATAAAGCTTATAGTTAGGACCTGATCCAGTCCTAACCTGATGCTGCTATAGGCCTAGACTATCGGGGGATTTCCCATGGTGCACTGAGCTCCTCCCTTCCTCTCTCTTTCTGCACTCATTCATGTTCCATTAATGCATGTTAATAACTTCACTTCTTCCCCGGAGTTCTTGTGCTTTCTCGTCTCGCAGGTTCTTATCGATCCTGGTGGAGCCTCCTGCCATGGTCCTGCTAGATTGCCATTGCCAATACTGTTGTTGCTGTGCACCTGTCTGTCTGTCTGTCTGTCTGTCTCTTTCTCTTTTCTCTCCCAACAGGTCGAGACAGACGACCACCCACCTAGAGCCAAAGGATCTGTCCTAGGTTTCTGCCTTTTAACAGGCAGTTTTTCCTTGCCCTTGTCGCCAAGTGCTTGCTCATGGTGGTACTGTTGGGTCTCTGTAAATAATGTTTTAAAGAGTTCGGTCTAGACCTGCTCTATTTGAAAAGTGTCCTGAGATAACTTCTGTTATGAATTGGCGCTATACAAATAAAATTGAATTGAATTGAATTGAATTCCTAGTTTGACAAGCTGTTTTTATCTGTCTTTCTCAGCTCTGATTGGTTGTTTTTGTTCAGGCACAGTGGATTTTTGCAAATGCCATTAAGAGCACCTGAACAGTGGTTCCCAACCTGGGGGGTCACCAAAGCTTCATGAGGGGGCCGATGCTTTCTTGATTTTAAGGGGTTTTAGAAAACTTAAAAATACAAAGATACACAGTAGGCTCACTTCTGTGAAGAAATGTAAATTGTCTAATAATACATTTTTTATTTGTAAGCGCTTTTCTGGATACTCAAAGACACTTCACATAAAAACAACATAAAAGCAGCAAAAACAACATCAAATAGTAAAAACACTAAAAACACATCGGACTAAGCTAAACATTAAAAGCAAAAGAACTATGGCCAAGTGTCAGGGACAAGAAAACAGAATTTGTCAAAAGAGAGAATGATTTTAAGAAATACATAACACAGAGAGCTGTATAAAAAGTTCCTCAAACAAGAATTAATCTGCTCCAAATTCATCCAAATCACTCGTTTTACCGAGTTCACTGCATAGTTTTGAATATGAAATAGCCATAAAATATGTCACTTAGTCAGGGGTCATCAGTTTACTCAATGAGTCCCAAAAGGAAAAAGGTTGGGAACCACTGCACTAGAGTGAGTCAGAGAAACCTCATCAATTCACAGATTACGTGTCTCATATGCTACTGTTAGGATATAGTCAACGTTTCAGCAAATATGACTACGTTATTTTTAAATGTTTTCTACTGCAGCTTTAATCTACTGGTCTGTGTTACATTTGACACCAAACTGGGGTGGCCAGGCATGTTTTAGGGTTGGCAGCCACCGTTTTATTTTAATTGTCCCACACACCTCTAAAATAGCAGTGGGCACATGGAGACAGTATTGAGACTCATCCCTTAAACTCTAAAGTGCAGTTAGGATCATTCCACAACAACAGCTCTTCCTACTTCCTACTCTGTTGTGAAATGTATTATGATCTAGAGCTCAGTGAAATAAACAGGGAGGACCTCTGATGACAGCAGACAAACACATTATCACAGTCATTAACACTTTTATTATCCAACAGAGATCAACTAGTTTATACACTTCAGGAACAGCAAGTGCTCAGGTCATTCTACATTCTAATTGTCAACTGGAAAACCATAAACTTAATCCTCTCTTAATATTTTAAAATCATTTGTGCACAAGACAATAAAAAACAATTTGCATGAATACATTATAACAGTTTAAATGAAAGTATTTTAGCCTAAATAGATTGAGCATCAAACACACAAAAGAATGCAGTTGTTAACATCACCGGTGTAAATGTTTATCTTAAAGTTAATGATGACTTCCCATAAAGTTTTGTGCTACTTTGTTTTTGTGGGCAGCTGCTCTCACCTCACAGGCCCACAGCTGATTGGACACTTCCTGTCCAAGAGGAGCCATGGCCTGTTGTGTCTGACAGCAGATGGCAAAATCTATCATTTCTGCTAACTATAAACTAATTTAATGTTTTGCACATGGACATTATTGTTCAGAATTAGAAGGAGCAAGCAAACATTTGTGTTTTTATTTTTTTGTAAGTATTTCCTAATTTTACTTACCCTATACCTATATGCAAGCGGGTTCAGGGACAAACACAGTAAAACACATGTACCATGGGTCACACAATACAAAGGCAACAGAGAGAGCCAAAAGGTGTTGTCTGAGCTGGCTTACCAACAATACCTTCCTAATAAACCCATGTAATCCAGGGCTTGTTGCTGTGAGTCTTTCTGCCCTCTTATGGTCAACAATCACTTACTGAAGCTTTACTATTTGTGATACAAAACACACAATCTAAGTGCAGTCTTTTCTCTCATTTGCTGATACTCAAACCTCCACAATGAAACCCAGAATCAAAGCAAAGCATTCCAATCTTCTTATATTCTTGAGACGAAGCTGGCCTGTGGTTATCCAACAAAGGGGAACAACAGTGCTTAGTCACTCAGACAGAATGACGTGTTTACTGAATTGAAAAGTGAAACTGTGAATTAATATGGGACATACCTGAGGCAAGGCGGTGCATAGAACTTACATATCTGGTTCTGTGGAGAGAGATAAAAACATGTTGAGAACTTGTTCTATCAGTTCACGTCTGGACAGTGTAGATTCAGTAATTGTGGAGGAGTCCATATAAAGCCTTTACATTTGTAAACTAAATACTGTCAATTCTGTACTTGTGACATCTTATCAGGACAATGCTAATACCCTGTGCTGTAAAGTTTTTAGGATTATTATTAATAGTAGCTCACATAGGCTTTTGTGTTGTTATTATAATAATAATAAATCAAATTAAAAAGTAGTCATAATCATGTCTTTTTTCTTCTTATTCTAAATTACAATTTAACCTTTTTACAGCTCGATTTTACAATACAGTACTTAATGATGGTGATGATGAATCAGAAAGACATGTAGACAGAGACAAACAGAGAGACAGACACATACCCCATATGTAATTTTTGGTATCTCCCATGTGAGACACTCTGCAGGAAAAAGTCTGTTCCTTGTTTGGGGTGAAGGGCACGTGTTTGGTCAGGTGGTAATGCCAGTCCTCCCCAAAGGCCAGGTCACTCTGCTGGGCTTCTTTGATCTCCTTGCCATTTTCGAGCAGCTCAATGGTGATTTGTGGTGGGTGGAAGCCACTGACATGGCAAATTAAGGTGTTGGCTTTCCCCACCTCTCCTGGCGCACGGCTGTACACCTGAACCTTAGGTGGAGCTACCAAGAAACAGAACAACTTTTACTATTCTTTGTTCTCAAATGATTTGATGGAAATATGATACAGCTGGCAAAAACTAGATTTCACTCCCTTAGGCATACATACTGCATAAAATTCTAATTTCTGCCCGTACTATTAAATCTGCAGGTAGGGTAACAGGTAAAGGTAGGTACTATGTAACTTTTATGAAAATAATTTTTGGGCATATTTGCTGAAACTTTATCTATATCCTGACAATAGTACTTGAGACAGATCATTTCTGGGGGGAAAAATCAAGTTCCTCTGGCTAGCTGAGAAAGATGGTTGATTGTTGAGTCTCATTTCCATACTGACGCTGAGAATGAGACTCAACAATTAACTATCTTTAAGCCCACCGACCAAAACTGGCTTTGTATCTTTCTCGGCTCTGATTGGTTGTTTTCGTTTAGGCCCGGTCTGTCTCATGGATAAAGTTTCAGCGAAAATGATTATTTTCATAAAAGTGCAGCGTTAAGCTACAATGCTGTGGTGTGGCGGTATCAACCAGTTTAATCATAATATGTTTATGAAGTGTATGAAACCACGTTTTAACGACGTCACAGCGCCGTTCAAAACGTAAACTTCTTCTAAACACCGCCTTTGTCAAACGTTTGACTTTACCTTCAGAGGAACTAACGTTATTTCCTGGGCTAATTCTGAATATTTTTTTGCGTAAGTAAGCGGTAAACTGAACGGTAAATCTATAATGAGATCTTAGGCACGTCGACCTCCCTGTCATTTCAAGGCCTCCCATCTAATAACACAGCGCCATTTGTAATCATATTGCCATATAGGTTAAGTACAGCAACTAACGTTACTTACATTCTTTGGCCATTGAAGAGGCTGAGAGGCAGAGCAGAGTGGCGAGAACTGCGCAGACAACTTCCTTCATGATTTCACCTTCACTCGGTCTCTGTACGCTGGAAACTAATTTATGTCCAAACTGTACAGACGATAAAACTGCCTCGCGATCTAAAACGTAGTAAAAATCTCTTGTTTTCGGGAGTGCTGGTGTAGGCTTGTCAGTCAACCAGAAAGCGCCTCTAACCCCGCCCTCACAATGAGTATCGGCGTTCAAATTACACATGCCCCAAATTCCACCAATAAAAAAATCAAGACGAGCTGTTGCTACGTAGATTTCATTCCGACATGTTACTCTCTGTTGCGCACTTTCAGCCCTCCATGTTTAGTTGAGCTGCCTGCTGTCTAGCTCATAATTTTTGCGTTTTATTTGAACTGTTATTGTACGAACATAATCAGATAAGTTGTCATTTAAAAAACAACAGTTCCTTGAGATACTATTTGACATTGTTCTAGTATGCCAGGTTGTAACAATGCTGTTGGTTGTAATGTAAATGGTGTTTCCACTGTATACTGTTCATTTAGGTTAAATCCATTTAAAATGTGTTATATCAGTGGTTCCCAACTTTTTTCCTTAAAGGACCCCTTTTTCTATCATTGAGTAAACTGACATTTGATATTTTATGGATATTTAATATTATATTTAATGCATAACTATCATACAGGGACATAACAAACAGTAGAGAACAACTGATTAACTGTACAATGTACTCAAATAGTGAACACAATAACTGCAGTTTGTGTAAGATGCATGAAATTTGGAGGGATTTGAGCAGATTAATTCCTGTGAATGGCAGATGAGTTTTCCTTATATTTTTAAACACTTCCCTTTCTGTATTATGTATTTTTCATTTTAAACAGGTCTTCAAAGTTTAGATCTTAAATAATAATCTAAACTTTAAAAATAACAATTAAATTTAGTTTTCTT